CACAACCAGCGGTGAGTTATAGGTTAATACCTTAAACACAGATCCTTTTTCTGATCTATACGTACCATTTATTTAGGTCTCACTGCCATTGCTGCACTGAAGCGTAAACGTAAAAAGTTCTCATCGAGCAAGAATATTTGCCCAGTTACCGAATCCGTGGCAGCGACAAATGCTGCTGAAATACTAAATGATAAGGCGAGTTGCTTCCAGTTAAATTGGTAAACTAAACTAATGAAACTACTTTATTGGCCAGACCCTGAAGCGAGTGTCCAGCTATCCGGCAGCCGAGGCCGGAGTGCAGCACAAGGATCCGGCCCAGTTGGTCAAGCCACGCCGGCACGAGCAAACCCAGAGCCAACACGACTCGGTGGAGACCAACTCGACCTTCACGCTGTCCATCGATCCATCGAATACGTCCGTGAACTCCAGGGAACCCCTGATCAGCACCAGTTGCGTTTCGACCACGGGAGCCATTGGCTGAGGGAATTTCGGAAAGTTGGAAAAGGCCAAGAGATACCAAAGATAAAGCAGCTAAACTACTTAGATGGCGCACCTGAAGCATACACTTAGATACTATACAGATACACATTGTTGACATTTTTGATATGAAGACATAACTGGAGTGGAGCTAAACTGTCTAAGGAAGCTATACTTAAACCGACACAGCCTAGATCTTAAATTACCTCACCAAGTCAAGGTATAGAGACCATTTAGCGAGTTAGCACACCAAAGTCAAAAACTGTTAATCGACACGGACAACTCTGAAACAACTACTTTGCACTACTGAAACGATATTTCCTATACCTCAACATATCCTATAAACTTAATTTACGTTACTTTAGCTTATGCTCTTCTACCTTTCATCTTACTATCAAATCAACTACAAAAAAATTATCCTCGATAAGCCGAAGTTTACATTATGCCATACAACGACTATGTTCCCAAGAAAGGCAGTCGTCCGAATTTGATACAATTAAAAATGTTCTTAAGTCGTAAAAAAATATTTAAAATCAAGCCCATTTCAAAACTTTGCAAAAGCATCTAAGCATCAAGATTATCCCCTCCACCTGAACCATGAAGCACACATATCATGCAATCGCTTTATAGAGAAACCTTTTACACCAAAAACAAAGAAAGAAAACAAAGATCCAACAAAGTCCTTTAACAAATACAAATATGAATACTAAACTATCCCATATCGATGTTGAACGTTGCCTTAGCATGAAACATATTTTTTATACACATAAGTTTTGGATGAACATTAAATTACTGAAACGGACTGTACCCGTAATGAGGCAAGCGCTGTGTATTTGTTGATTTGAGAGAATGGATTTTGAAACGAAGGATTTGTTGTTGTTCCAGCAAGCAAGCAAGCAAGAAAGCAGAAAAGCAAAGCAAAGCAAAAGCAAACGCAAAGCAAAATAAGTAAATAAACCAAAAGATAACACAATTTTATACACCGATTTTAACCAACACAAAAAACCATAATCGAATCGCATACTACTAAAGTGTTTGCATTTTATGGGTATATATATCCGGACTTAGATGTGCATATCCATAGCCTACACACACGACGATTTTAGCATATATATAATATATACATATATAGAATACAAATATGAATAATCGACATTTTTAGATGATTTTTTGCGTTGAAGTAGACAAATACCCACAAATACACGAACAATATACGAAATATCAACGAAAACAATAACAAGGAATATCATATAGCATTTTATATAAATAAATTATTGTGGAACAGCAGAAATATGTTGCAAGGCATATCTTTGCTGCTGCCAGAAAAAAAATTAAAAACAATTTAAGGACGCAAACGAAATACAAAATACAGTGTTAGAATAATATAAAAATTGTTATTTGCACGGAAACATAAATTAATAAAATATATCGAAATGTGTGTACCATTTATTTATTTTCTGTGGAAAAATTACTTTCAAAGAGTTTTTCGAACTAAAAAATAGTTTAAATAAATACATTTCATAGCACTTTTTAAAAGCATCGTTGAGTACTTACTGTGTTTTGCCCCTTTTAAAAATAATAATAAAAACCATAGTTTTTTTGTTTAATATAAAAATATACAAATAATAAAAACAAACTTTTTATTTATATTTGCGTTCTTTTTTTTAACTGGTGGTAGTTTTGATAATTTTTTAAAGTCAATTATAATACATACAATGCAGGGTCTTTTTATAAAGTAATCATCATTTGTTGTAAATTTTGAAAAAAATTAAAACAATAACCAAATTTAGTCTACGCAAAAATAATGAAAACCAATAAGCAAAGATAATTGTCTTCTTTGTTAGCAAATTAATTTATTTACACATTAGAGCCTTACATTTTGGGTCGCTGCATCCAAAAGCTATGCTTCTTACCCGAATCAGCTCTAAATTTTGGCACAACCTCAAATAACCATCAATTTGCAGTTCAAATTAACGGCTGCTTGGGGTTATGTCAAAATCATCGTATGGTGGGGATAAGGACAAGTGTTCAGTTCTTCAGGTTTTTATTCATCAACAATAATACTCTATTGTTTAAATCTTCAACATTTTCTTTTTCACAAATTTTGCATGAACCCTTTAGGGTTTTCAGGCAGAAACTCAGGATAGTGCGCGATCGGTGTGTCTGTTGAAGGACGCGCCAACTCAGTGTGGGAAATTCCGCGTAACTGCATAGGATCACGCTTGATGCATCACAGAATAAAACGTTGGCAAAGCTGGACAGGATCGAAGGCCAACAGACAGTCTTGCCGGAAACTTGGAAGAAGATCTTTCCGCAGGTCTTCGAGACGAAACTGAACGGAATGGTAGGTAATCAAGAAGCCATGGAGACAATTCAGACGAAAATGTACACCCTTCGAGAAGTACTGCAAAAACTCTATCCTAAGCTGATAAGAAAATAATATAGTCAAAGCTTGAGTGGATCGGCTCGAGGTATTTTTACATAGAACATAATATCCATTAGAACTGTACTACTGCTGTAAATAGATGCTGTAGTCCAATACTGATCGATATTGTGTTTGATGTGTAAATATCTTAAGCCGATGCGCTGAAGCTTCCACCATATTATTTTACTATCAATTTCGGATAGACTTCTTCGCAGGTCTGCTACGTAGCTCTATGTTTTGGTCTGTAAAACCTGCACTTTATTTTAAAAACCTTTCATTCTATCCAAGGTCTTCTCGGAGATCTATGGTTCCAACTTCTTCTTTCAAGTTTCTTAAAAGACTATTCATTGGCCTTTTATCCTGGTCAGCTTTGCCTGAGTTTTATCAAGCCTAACAATAAATTCTTTAAAATGTGAAAAACTGATACCTAAGGGCAGTTAAGAAGAATTTCCAACATTGATTTGGTGGTCCTTTAGTAGACAAACGAAGCGTGCTCTATCCTGCGAATACACCTGGAAGCCATAAAGAATACATGCAATAAATGCTTAGGAAAATAAGTTGAAGATTTAATTATACGAAGAGTATATAATCACTAAAAGTGAGGGTTTTCTATGTAGAGATCATTATTGCTGATAAGAAAGAATTAACTGGAAGAACACACACAAATAAGTAAGAAAAGGATATCTCTAAATTATAAACACAGCAGATAAAAAAATAATAATATAATGAGTATGTCAACATAAACACCCTAAAATATTCAGATCGTTTTGGATAAAATCAATTAAAGGATTAAAATTCTACTATTTCTGAAGACTTCTTTCTAATGTTTATAATATACCATACATATTTAGTTCTCTATTAAGGAAATTAATTGTTTTTGTTTTAAATCGTAAAGTTCCTACCAGCTCAACCAAAAATCCACAACTACAAACAAAAAATGTATTTTTATTATTTGTATATCGCATTTATTTTAAATGTTTCATATATATATATATTTTGCAAATAAATTTTATAAGTTGTAAACATAGAAACATACATAATTTCCATTTATTTATCATTTGATTCTGATTTAAGTTTATTTATTTATTTATATATATATATAATTTTTTTAATTTGCATCAAGCAAATGTTTATGCTTTACATGAACAAACATTTGTTTTGTTTTGTGTATTTTTTTTTTTGATTTTTTGTGATTTTTTAGATAAGATTCCGTTTTGTATAATTCACATTAAATGCTATGGAAAGAAACAATTACATTTAGTTTAATTTATTTAATTAGAAAAATAATAATAATTGGAATATAAATCACTTTGCCTAGTTGGGGCTGCTATAGCCACATGGGACAGCCTACGAAAAAGTGTCGGGTTGAATTTGTTTAGTTGGTTGTGAAATGCAACAATTGGATTGCCAGCGGATATAGCAGCCCCAACTGGGGTTGCCTTGGTTTTCTCGATTTCTGCTTGTCGTATAATATGTTTATAATAAATTGTGTAATAATTCGTATAAAAAGGTTGTGAGAATGAAAGAAGCGTCTGCTGTTTTACATATATCTATGTGTTTTGTATATATATATATTTATATATATATATATATATATCTGCGTAGATTGGAGCGATCAGGAAAACAATTATACAGCACTGAATACTTGTAGCTAGTAGTCTAATAAATTCATACTTTTCGTTTAATTATTCGTTCTGCATTTGCCCTCCTCTGCCCCCTTTGCCGCCCTGGCCATTCACAATTCGGTTACTTTTTAGCTACTTAGGAGTGTCTTTAGTTGGTGCAATTTGTTGACCAGCTATCTACAATCGTTTGTTGGTTGGTTCGAATACACTTTACAAAAAAGGTCTTGTAAAAAATCTTGGGCCGCGGGCGGGGCCACGCCCCCACAAGCTAGTTCTACACGTATTATACACGAATTTTACAAACCCGCCGTGGAGGGCAAATGCATGGAGGAGCCACACACAAAGTAACAGTTTGAGAAGCATTTTGGAACAGGTCTGACAAGTACTGGTGAGCCTTTAGGTTCTGCCGACGGCTTACAATTTGTTTGCTGGCTGCTCATTTGTTTATAGCACATATGGAGATTAGACTTTCGTTTTGTGACAACATATATTATTAGTAAATACCATTATTAACATTTAGCTGTGTGAATGTTTGACGTTGTGGTTTTCTTTTTGTGTACATTTAATACAATTATGGGGGCTTGCCTTCTCATCTCATCTCTCCTCTCCTCTTCACCTCACATCTATTTCTTTTTGCTATTTTTGATTTCCTGTTCTGCTGTTTTTGTATTTTTTCTTTTGTTTAAAATTAGACAATATACAGTTTGATTTTGTTTGATTCTGTTACGGTATATATATAAAAAATACATAATTACAACTAATGGTTTAAATCACTTCTTTGAGACATAAAGTGTTTCATTTTTGTTTTGATTTTTATTTTTTTTCATTTTCGCCTGTCGTTTGCCTACAAATTCCTATGGTGTCACGTTGCACGCCACTTTTCGAGGACCTTGGTGTCCTTAGCCCCTCAACATATTGACGAGCATAGCGACCAGGAAGGTGCCCACGAGGAAGGAGACCACAATGCAGACGGCCTTTTGCTGGTCACTCAGACGCCGCCGGTTGGAGTACAGTGAAGTTAGCTTACCGACGATCCGCCTTAATCCGCCCGCCTGGGCCAAGCTGGAGGAGATGGCCGCCGCCGTTGAGGAGCTGGAACTCGAGGAGCTGATGCCCATTCCGGTGTGCGGATGGTGGGCATGGTGCATGTGATGCGAATGGTGCATGTGGTGCTGATGCTGGTGGTGCGGCTCCGTGGCTCCGGCCATTCCACCTGCTCCTGCTCCGCCGCCGCACGGCTGATGGTGGTGGTGGTGATGATGATGGTGGTGATGCAGGGGATCTGCGCACGCATTGAAACCGGACAGCTCCTGCTGCAGTCGTCCAATCGCCACAGGATCCGCTCCCACGCCGCTCGCTCCGCTGATTGCCGACGCACTCACCGATCGCATGTGCAGACCATTGGTCGAACCATTGCCCGAGGACAGTTTCCGGCTGCTCCTCTGGCTGGTGGCCAGCGCAGCGGGCGGTGCTGCTGTCGAGCCGTGCAGGTGGTGGTGGCAGGTCGCCGAGCTGGGATCCAGCTCACTGGGCACCTGGTAGCGCAACGGACTCGATGGCTGACCGTATAGGAGTTCTGCGCCCGCCGCCACTCGCACAGGACACACTCGGAACTGGTAACAAGTGCCGGCGGCCAGATTGTCAATGGTAAACTTGGTCTCCGGGCCGCGATACAACTGCCTGTAATCCTGGTTGGCCAAATTAACCGGAGCCCCGCTGGAACTGCCACTGGAACTGCTGCTGCGACCCTTGGGCGACAGGGATTCACCCTCCAGTTCGGCAGCGCCCAAGACAGCGTACTGCAACTCGTACTCCACGCGATCGCTGAAGGAGTTCTTCGAGTGCTGCCACTCCAGGGTGAGCTGCATGCCCAGTTGGCCGGGCATCTCCATGAGGCAAACGCTGCCCTCTTGGACCACCCGAGGTGGCTTTATGTTCGCCGGCAGCGTGGCCGAAGTCTCGAACACAAAGTCCTCCGAGTAATCCCCATCGCCGGCCCTATCCGTGTGGGCATAGATGCGGAAGGTGTAGCTGCTGCGCTCCTGCAACTTGTGCACCTTGCACATGCAATTGGTGCCGGAGTAGACGGCCTGAAACTGCTTCGCCCTGGCCACATACATCTCCACAAAGTACTTGGTGAAGTCGCCGCCATTTCCAGTCGGATTGGAGCTGGGCTGCTTGCCGGTTCCGTTCTCGCCCCACTTCAGCTTGATGTAGTTGTGTCCGGCACCGCTACACTCCAGGCGTGGTGGTGCCGGAGGTGCCGGCTGGGTGGTCAGCTTGGCATAGGCACTAAAGGCTCCCGCTCCAATGGCGTTCACCGCCTGCACACGGAACTTGTAGCCGGTTTCGGGCAGCAGCCCACTGACCGTGTAGCGTGTACAGGCATCCGGAGTGGCGATGGTCCGCTCCCCGTACTCAATGTTGTAGGAGCAGATGGGCGAGCCATGGGCCGCCGGCTGCGTCCAGTTGAGGGTCACCTCCTGGGCGGTGAACTCGTAGCCCTGCATTTGCGGAGCTCCGGGTACTGCAGCCGGTGTGCAGACACATATCACGTCGGAGGAGGTTCCCGTGCCGGCGGAGTTGCTCGCCTGGATCCGGAAATGGTAGCGTGTGTAGGGCGATAGGTTTCTCAGCTCGGCGCAGGTTTGCGGTCCCTGATAGCAGTTGTGGAACTCGGAGCTGTTTGGTTCCTTGGCCTCCTGCTCGGAGTCCTCCTCCCTCCTCTCCTGGCTGGCGCTCTTCAGCGTGTAACTGGTCACGGGCGCTCCGTTCTCCTGCAGCGGCGGCTGCCAACTGACTCCCAGATGGGTGGCCGACTTCACCAGCACCCGCAGCTCTTCGGGAACGCCGGGCGCAGCGGCTGCTGCCGTGAATCTCATCCACTGGGACCAGTTGCCGGCACCGATTCGGTTGATAGCCCTCACCTGGGCCTCGTACATGCCACCCGGTGTCAGATCCTGCGCCACAAAGTAGGCCTGTTTGCCGCGGTACACCAACTGAGGTGGCTGCACCTGCTCCAGGCGTCGCATCTGGGCTTCGAACTCCAGGATGGGAGCACCGCCATTGTATTCCGGATGCTGGAGCTTCAGGAGGGCGGCATAGGGCGAGGGGGGATCACTGCAGTGCGGTGGGGGCGGGGCAGACGGAGCCACCGCCTCCGTGGTAACGTGTCCAATATCGGAGTAGGGACTCTGGCCCGCGGGACCTTCGCAAAAGGCTCGCAGGGCGTAGGTGGTGCCCGGCTGGAGTCTCTCACACATGGCCTCTGTCTCGCCGCCACTGTAGATCCTCTCGAAAGCCGGACCCGCGGCACTTAGCTCCAAGTGGTAGCGAAGGATCTCGGCCCCGCCGGCATCGCCTGGTGCATCCCAGCGGGCCTTGAAGTGGGTGCCATGAATCTTGCCCTTAGCATGCGGCTTGCCAGGTCTCCCAGGACGTTCCGCTAAAGTGCGGTAGCTAACCTCCGGCGACCAGGGCGAAAAGCCCGCTTCGTTCTCGGATCTCAGACGGAATTGATAGCTGCTGGCCCGCCTCAACTGCAGGCACTCCGTTTGCAGCTCCGTACCCTTGTAGGTATTCAGGTAGCCATGGCCCGATTCCGCATCCTGCAGTTGGAGTAGGAAGTCTCCATCTTGTGCCCGGCGCTCCCAGCCGAGTTTCAGGGAGTTGGCACTGCTGCCCAGCAGTTGAGGAGGTCTGGGCACTGGCGGCGGATTCCCGGAAGTGCTATAGCTGGCCACTGGGGAATAGGGACTCTGACCCGCTTCGTTGACCGCCGCCAAGCGGAAACTATACACTGTGGTCGGTTGCAGTTTCCCAATAACATAGTGCTTGGCCTTGATCTTGGCCAGCTCTACGAACTTCTGCGGCTGTCCCGACAGCCTGCCCTCATCGTACTCCAGCAGATAGTGCTGTATGCTGGCCCCGTTCGCTGCCGGTGCAGCCCATCGAAGATTTATGGAACTCTTGGTGCGGGAAACCAATTTCGGAGGCGGCGGTTGATCGGGCTCACAGGCTGGGGTGCGGAATTCCGTGGGATCGCTGACCGTTCCCTCGAGTTTCTGGTAGTGCACCTGCAAGCGAACCAAGTAATCCTGGCCTGGCTGCAGATCCTGCACAATGCACTCGTAGGCTTCCCCGCGGTACAGACTCTTGTACTTGCACTGCTTCCCGGAATCACAGAGGAGCACTTGGTACCGCAGCTGACGCATGTCCACCGTTAAGGCATCCGCTATGGCCGGGCTCTCCCAGATGATCTTTGCCGCCCGCGAAGTCACATCTATCACCTCGGGCTTCTCAATGGCTGAGATTTGCTCCACAATGGAGGCCTGGTAGTCCTCCTCTTCGTCGCCGGCCAGACTGGAGTTATCCTCGCCATCCTCGGAGGTTCCCACAGAACTGGCCCCGCCCACACTGCTGCCAGTCCGCTGAGGATGCTGAGGGTTCCCGTTTCTTGGCTGGAGCTGCTGCTGCGGCACCTGGTGGGCCTGCACCTGGTGCTGCTGTTGCTGCGGCAGGCGACGTCCCTGATGGTTGGCCATGTGCAGGTGGCTGGTGTGGTGGGCGGGCAGGGTCACGCCCAGAGGAATGTTGTTATTGTTGTGACCGTTCAGTTCGTTGGCACGGCGCGGAGATGGCGAATGCGGAGGATCTGCACGAGAATGGGATATATTAGTATACATCTTGGTAGGGTAAAACAGATTTTGTAGTTCGCTTAGCTAAGTTTGTTTTATTTTCTGCACATTAGGATCTGCTTTTGAGATATAATCTTTAGATAATACTCTAAATGCTCACATCAGTTTCTAGTAAAAAATCATTGTGCTTTCTTAGGTAAGTTATACGACAAACTAAATTTTAAAATGTAAATAAATGATATAATTAAAATTGTTATACATTCCAAAACCATTATTTATATCAGTTTAAGTGAAAGAGAATTAAATACTTTTCGATCAAGCGTTATTCCTGAAGAACTATAGAGATTTTTGTAGAAATCGATGGACTATATACTGTAGCTGTTAAAATTTACTTTGCGTATTTAGTTTTTTATTTTTAGAACTTGAGAATGATAGTCAATGTTCCCAAGGCTACTCGGAATTTTAAAACAGATGGGCTCTTGGGAGATTTATGATAGTCTAGTTTATATTCAGATTCCACCCAAAGGGTAATATTACTATTTGACGCATTAAATTTACACCTAAGCTAAGCGAACTATGTATGTAGGGTCCTTTGGAAACGGGATACTCACTGGACTCCCGCTGCTTCTCCAGCTTCCTGAGCAGCTTGTTGTGCTGCCGCTGGCTGCGCTCATCCCGGTAGTTGGGCGGCGATGGTGAGTGCGGGGAATGGGGGTGTGTGTGCGAGTGGGCGTGTGAGTGGGTGTACGAGTGGGCGTGCGGATGGGTGGCTGACCCAGTGGGTGGTGCTCCTTGCGGTTGTTGGCCTGTTGCTCCTCCAGTGGTAGGTGGTGCTCCTTGGACCATCAAAGTAGGTGCCACCTGCTGCTGCTGCGGTTGCTGTTGTTGTTGTTGTGGGGGTGGTGCTCCTTGGGGCGCCTGCTGCTGTGGTTGTTGTTGGGGCGGCGGTGGTGCCGGCAAGTGATAGTGTGGTGGCCCATTGCCAGCAGGGCCTGGGCCAGGATAACCCGCCACTTGGGTGTAGAAATGCGAAGCGCCGTTTGCGCTTATCTGTAAAATATTAACAATACATTTAGTAATTCTGTAAAACATTTAAATTTATCTTAAGCAAGTACTTTAATAAGCAGCGTATTCGACGTTTTCCTTGACTCCTCCATTTTCGTTTCATTGAGAGACTATATTTTTAAAACACCACGTCAACATTTAACACGCTGGCTAAAAATATCTTGCCACCGAAACACGCCGACCAAAAAACTAACTGATAACAACTAATTGATTTTCGCATTCTTATCTTTCACAGAATTGCAGAGGTAAATTGACACGTTTCTTATGCGATATAAATTCCTTTGACTTTTTCCTAAGGTGCATTGATTTTTTTTTTAGGAACTTTTTAACCCGAGTAACTTTAAATAAGAACTGAAACGAATGCAATGTTTCTTTAAGAAAAAATATTACTAAATAGTTTTGTTGTTGGCCATAAGAAAAGACTAAAAAATACTTTTAGTGCTGCAAAACGAGCAGAATCCCAGACGCAAGCCACTATTATGGATTTCGGTTAAGATTTAGCTTTGACTTGAACCATTATGGTGAGTAACAGTATTTTTTGAGTGACTACCAAAACACTCAAGTTTCGCAGCAAACAGCTTTTTATTATGAATGTGTTCCGCGGGAAATTTAAAATTAGCTTTTTATTTTTTATATGGCTTAATCTTTAAATATATATATTATGTACAATATATTTCTTATAACGCTTTTAATATTTTAATATACATTAAATAATTTGAAATATAAACAAAAAAACGAATCTATAAATATTATTAACAAATATTTACCCTTAAAAAAACTTAAAACTAAAAGAATAACAACAGTCAATTAGTACAAAATTAGTGTCAAAATGGGCGCCTTGTGCGAATCTCAAACATATTTATTAGCGCCAAACATGTTTGAACCGAATTCTCGACTGAAACGATTTCGCCAGCAAGTCATTAAATAAATTGGTTTTGCGGTATATGGGCAGCGGACAATTAGCCACGCCCGCATGCTACATATATTAACTAAAAATTACCAAAGTGGCCTAACTGATGATTGATAATTTGGCCCACCAATTGCTGCAAAACTGTGGCAAATGTTTTTTGCTAAATTACACTAATTTCACGTTTTTACATGCTCAAAGTTGGCTTTTTGGTTGTGCAATTTGTAGACTTTAAAGCGTTTCTCTCCACGGTTCTTTTGGGATGGTCATAAACTATGAAAAGCCAAAAATATGGGTCAAAGTTAATGAGTTTTTGGCGGTTTATGCTCGAAACAACAGAAATAATAAAGGAGAACAAAAGAAGACGGATTAACACATGGAAAAAAAAACACAAAGAAGATTATAACTTGTTCTGCGAGGGAGTTTCGGTTTCGCTTTCGGTTTTAATGGTGCGACAGATACCGTTATTTCGAGTGCTTGACTCAAGTTGCATAACTATGCAAATTAGCATACAATCAAATTATAAACATTTCAACATAAACACACAAGCGGAAACTGCCATTTGTAAGGTGATGTGTGCGAATTTCTGTGTGTTTCAACCAGGGGCTTACACTAAGAGGGTTTTTTGTGGCTAAGATATCTTGTGGGGCTTATGTTTTAAAAGGAAGAATTTTTAAATAATATTTCTTTTTATATTAATTTGAATTTTCAAACCAAAAATTGGGCAAACATTTAATATTGAACACGCTTTTTTAATCTATGTAATTTATCAATGTTGTTAAATTTGGCATAGAGTTTCCTGAGTTTTTTATTAGGGACCATTTAAGTTTTGAAATCTTAAATATTGTTAGTACATATTTCAATGGATTTTTTACAGCGAATTTCGAAGGATTAAACTGTTTCTTGGTAAAGCAATGCCCGAAAACCACTCGCCAATTTTCCAACTCTTGCCTTGTCGGCTCGAGTGTGTGGTGGCAGCAAATTGTTAATTAAGTCAAGGAAAATTCAGCCTCAGTCAGTCAAGTCGGAATGGCGGAGTCAGTCGAGCAGCCACCGCAGGCACTTTCATTTCAGCAACAAAGCGTGACGAAGCCACATGTGTCCAAGCTGGAATCCGAGGCGGATGAAGTTGTTGGCGCTGCATTAAATCAAGTTTTCCACTGCGAAAACGGCATTAGGAATGGCGGGTTATGTAAAAATGTGACAGCAAAGTTCAGCTCAAGTGGAGTTCAATTAAAAGTCATGAGCAATAATGTAGCCAGCAGCGGGCACGACCAACCAACAACATTTAATGGCTTGCACTAACAAACTTTAGGTAAATCAACAGCTAGTCTCTACAAATTGTTATGCAAATAGGGAGTTTAGTCAGCCTAAACGGCTGTACTTCTAGACTGAGAGTTTTGCAACTGGGAAAATATTTTTAAATCTTTCACTTTGTTTAAATACTTAAACATGTTTTTAACTCTGATTTGAGTAGTGTGTATATATTGAAACTTTATTGAGCTGATTGTGTTATGTTGCATAATTGTGAATATATGCATATATGCGGTTATATTTCATTTTTATTTCTATTCCTATTATTACAATATACAAATAAATCAGCTCCAAAGTGTCAGTAAATTAAAAGCTCTAGGAAACCGCGTAGTCATTGGAATTATACAAATCACAATACAATTAATTTGGATTTAATTGAGAGATTGATAATAAAACAATAACTAACAGCAAACTGGGGGGCCGTTGGGCAATAGAATTTAAATCGCGTTAGGCGCTAGTCCAGAACCGGATTGATAGTTTGGGCCAGGCCAAGTCACGAACTTCAAGCCATCTCCCACTCTTTGGTCAACGATTTTCCCGCTATGGAAATGAAAATATTTCAATTTCGCCTCGAATTTTGTTAACAATGTCTGCACATAAAAGAGATGATGGGAATGTTTATGCTGTACAATGAAATTGTTATTATTAAATTATTAGACATAAGTGGCGACGGGAGCAACAGATGGGGGCTTGAAACGTGATGTGAATGGGTAACGCTCATCTGCTTTGGTTAACAAGATATATATTTTTTTTGTTCGTTGCCATTTTGCAAATTAGCGAGGCAATTTAAATGGAATGTTGCCCCAACTCTAAACTTGGCATCACCATGGGAGCGAACTAGTTCCGCATGTTAATGGGCCTAATGAAAAAATAATGAATGCAATTGACAGTAATTTGTAGCAGTCAAATTAAATTAAATTTCTCTAAATTAATAGCTAATTCACATATAAAAAAAAATTATTTGGTAAATGAAGAATTTTAGAAAAGGCTAAGCAAATATTTTCATATTTTCTATGTCTATAAGAAAAAGTCCCTACTTTGAAATATTACTAAAAATTGTAATTGTATGTACGTGCAAACGTTTTATCACTCTATAAAAATGTTTGTTTTTTTCAGTTGGGAATTTCCCACAAGTCAGTTTACCATAACTTTTAAAGCTATGACTTGAATAAATAAAATTCTGTTATCAAAAATTTGAATTAATTAAATAATTTTTGATGAGAAAATATTTTAAAAATAAATGAATCAATTTGAAAATTAAATATTTCAGCCCCGTAACTACTATAACAATAAAATGAAAAGTTAAACTCTATAAAGGCAACTATTAAAATTAAACACAAAGAAAAAACAACCATTGAAAATCGAAACCTACTTAAAAATAAACCGCATTTTCCTACTCTACGTTGGCAAACACCTTTCTAACTGGTTAATTAGCATTCTGTGCAAATTTCTTCGGAGAACAATTGTCAAAGCTCACACCTAAATGACAGCTCGCGAACTGCAATGAAACAAATTCGGACAGCAAATAAATTGCCTCAGAATGCATTTGCCATTCAAATATTTGCGAACAGTGAGTCAGAAACTTAGCAAAGCAAAGGGGACTTTGGAATTGTGCGAAATGGACTAATTAGTTAGGTAATTTCCACACTTTGCAGCCCCTCGTGAATTTCCTGGTTTTAGGAGAAAGGCAAGCAAACAAAACGATATTGCAGTTTATAAACTAAACTTAAGTGAACCGATATCTAAATAAATTATAAATGCAAAAGCGCCGACAGCTGGCCAACTGTTTTTCTGCTTCTGTTTTTGTTTAAACTTTACTTTAATTGTTGTTATTGTTTAGGTAAAAGTTTACCCATTTCAGCCATTGTTTCGGTCCGGTTCAGTTTCATAATACATTAGCACGAGTCTGGTTGCAATTGAATAGTTTTCAGTTTTCCAGGAACCGCTTCACCCGGATCCAATCCGGTTTGTTTGCCGCGTATGGCGACATTTGGTCAATAAATTATTTTTACAGACGCCCCCAATGGAAGTTTCGCTCGAAAATCGAATGAGCATCGGGGTATTATTGCTGCTGATTGCTGGTTGTTCGCTCAATTAGCTGTCAATTAATTGATAAGCGGAGGAAGTCCCGCCAATCGTATGGAAATGAGATACTGTCTTCCCTTTCCGATAGGAGTATACTACGGCTTTATCAATTCGATTGCCGTTGGTTTGCTGTTTTCCGATTCAGTTTGAAGTGTGCATCGGTATCATTCAATTAATTTACAGGAAGTTCTGTTGGAGATTTTTAATCTGATTTTTTGTTCTGTGCAACCGAAAGTACTTCACGGTTTTGAGAACCTGCTCAATAATGCTGAGAACTAAGAAAAACAATTGCTCAAGTGCTTAATTTAATGATTATAAATCCATTAACAAGCAAATTGAGTTTGATAATTTTTTCAGCTTGTTTTCAGCTTTTTGGTAAGGAACATTTTATTAAAGTTTTGTTTAATGGTTGGATGTTTTATGAATTTTGAATTTATTAAAAAAATCTTTATTATGGTTTGGGGTTTTTTGGGGCTTGTACAAATTTTACCAATATAGCTAAAAAAAAAAATACACAACTCAAGCTCAAAAAAATGTTTCCAAAAATCCATTAAATAATATATTTTTCATATGGATATTTATTAAAAGAATTTAAGAATTGAAATACCTTTGTAAAAGAAACCACTTATAGACTTTCTTACAAATGTTCGGTAAAATTAATTGCTAGAAATATTGCTAAATAACTTTTAAAGCATAGTCTCTCTCGGACTTTTTATAAATATTTTAAATTTAAAATTCCTCAGATCAATCGCCAAAGTAAGTCCAAAAAAATCAGAACTATTTATTCATCAATGTTTCCTTAGGTTTTGCTTGCGATTTTCTAATTTCGCCTTTGAAAACGATGTTTTATTTAATTTAGTTTAAATCTTAAAAATACCCAGATTAAAATGACAATTTTCTTAAAATACTAAAAAGGGCACTTACGAAGGGCGCTGGATGGAGGTGTCCCTGGCCGGGATGCAGTTGCTGGTACTGCTGCGGCGAGAGCATCACGTGGGTCAGCGTTCCGTTCTCGTTGACGTACTGCGGCACCTGGACGGGCACCGGCATCGGGGGCGGTGGTCGGTTCTGGGATACCATCTGAACCGCGGGACCTGTAAGTAACGAGCGAAAAGGGGGACAAATTACTTAAGATTCTATAACAACCGGCAATATGCTGATTATGTGTGCTAGTGCGACCATTTCGCAGATACAATATAGTACGCATACACATGTAAATATATATATATATATATGTATAGTCATGTATGAGGGCACAAGTTAAAGCAGGCGACAGCTGGCGCCAGCGAGGCGACAGCGAGACACGCGGGAGCAGGGACGAGGGGGAGGGGAGGAGGGGGGAGCGCCAGGACATTGCCAGGACAGCCATTGCTGCTTTATGTCAGCGGCGATTTCTCTGTGTTTGTTTAATGGATATCTCTGTAGCATTCTCTCGGTCTTTTTGTGGATGTGTGCAAATATATATACACAGCAAGAAATTCAGTTGCTATCTCTGATAAAAAATCTTCTAGGTTTTATCATAGATGTTAATAAATATTGCTCCACAAATGTAAATATTTTTATCAGGCTTAACTTTTATACGCTTCAAAGAAAAATACACATATAGGTTTCTATAGTTATCGAGTTGAATTTTGGTAGACCAACTAAAAATGTAACCTGTTGGGAAACGTTTTATTTATATTTACAAATAAGATTTTATATTGAAATGATATCAATATATAATTACTTTGACCTGTACTCTGCAATTCAGGAATGAAATATTGTATTTTCTTACACTTAAACTTTATTTGCACAGTGCATACATTTGAATATGTATGTTTGTGTTTGCTGCAGCCAACAAAATGCTTGACAGAGTCTGCCAATTTCTGGCTCCCTTGTCGCCTCGAACTACTCAACTACGATACGCATACGCACCGTTGCCCAATTCCGATTTCATTTGCAATTTAAGTCTGCCCGATGATTAATATCCAACCGGCCCTCCCCGTTCCGCTCCTGTCATAGGCACTGCACTGCCCCCGTCCTCTCGATAGTTGGCTTTAATAAATGTGTTGGAAACATAGAAATCTCTAGAGCAAACATTTCTTGGCAGCCTCATTTCGTGTAGAGAAAAATTGAGATATGAAGAGCGAGCGAGGGGTGAACAAACGAAGTTTTCGGGATTCTTGGCAGGGCCATCGGGTTCGGAATCAGAATCATAGCCTCAGCATTGTCTGGATCTGTTTCGGGCTCTGGTTTCGCCACTGTCATTAGGACGAGGGATTGGGCGGGGGATAATACTAATACTAGAACTACCATTTCCATTTCCATTGCCATTTCCATTCCATCTGGGGATCCATTTCAACTGCAACGTTGTCGCATGTCATTGCCACAGAATAAACGACAGCAGACCGCCCCGAAAGTTGCCCCCTCAAACATTTCAGATATATTTTGATTTGTGGATTTGTATTGCTTTTCAATTCTATTCCTTTTCAGCTTGCCTCCAAATTTTTTTGGCTGCAATGCGACGAAGAAAATAATGGAAAAAGCTAAAGATTGGGAATGAGCAAACATTTGTTAACAGACGATGTCTGGTTGAGATTAGCGCATAATTCGGTTTGATAAATGATAAGGCACTCAATGTCCAGCAGGTCTTGTTTGATAAAAATGTATTTGAAGCGGAATAATTGAATTATTATTGTAATATATTGTTAAATACCATGATGAATACATGAATAGTTTATTTCTCAAACATATACGTTTTCGTTTTAACTATTTATCATATTGAAGCATTAAATATTAAATATTTGCCCTCTTTTAATGCCGCTTTCTTAAATTCCCACGCTTCTCCATACCCATAAATATTTAAAAACGAGCTGAAAAAAAGGATTCAGAAATCCATGTTCATCATAAAATGCATTCTATGTTTGCACATCAATATGGATGGGTTAAAATGCAATCCCCAGCTGCAGCATTGCACTTTGCATGCCCAGGCACGTAGAAAGAACGTGGCCACGCCCACTTGTGGCCCCTTTTCACATTTCCCCACTTCTATTCTTTTTTTTTCGCAGCATTTTCCCTGCCTTTTAGTTTTTTTTTCTTTTTTGTTGCGCCTTCTCTTCTGTTTTGCTGGCTAAACAATGCAGAGTTGCATTTTTTATGGACACCACGCGGCGTATGCGTAATGTCGGCTAATGGATTGCGGGGAGGTTATCGTGTGGTTGTGGGAGGTGGATGGGTGGGTATTCCCCCCGCTTTCGCTTTAATAGTTAAACTGTAAACTTAACGGTAATGCGGCTGCTAATACGCTTAGCCATGTCTCGCACTCATTGAGGCCGAAAATGCTGGGCCCCGCCGTTCAATCAAGCGTTAAATGCCATCCGCCGGCAGAATTTACTAGACCAGTCCGCATCGTCCATTTGTCCGGAGTCTCTTGATCTGCTCTTAGGTGTAAAAATGTTGGTTTAGTGCGCTGACGCATAATGCGACAGAAAAAGCGGAAAACCGATGATGGCTGATAAACTGAAACCAAGAGTTTTCTCCCTTCTCACACAATACCCAATGCAGTTAATCATTCTGTAAGGGGGAGGAGCGAGGAGGGTTTTTCACCGGTTTTTAGGGGCCGGAGAAGATTGTCTGGCCAGGAAATGCACACCGTTCAGAGAGCGAGATAGTTGGCAAGTGAATTTCCCCTCAAGTGTTAAAAGGCAGCAATTAGTTAGGCGAAAGAGGGTTGGTTACCGCCGGGGGATAGCTTATCACTTGGCCAGCAGACAGACAGTTAAATTAAGTACTATACTTCAGCGACTAGACCGCCCCGGTGTTTCCCCGCGAATGTCTGCAACTTCTACTCAAACTTAATTAATGCTAAACTGCTTAAGAAGAGATTTGGGGTTCGGGTTCTGGCAGAGGAGCCTTCGCCAAGGAAAGTGTAAGTTATTCAGAATTTCCAGAAGGTGTGTATAAACTATTTAGGGAATTTAAATATTCTCAGCTAAATAGACTTAAGAAAAAATTGTTGTTAAAGCTTACATATATTTTACTAGACTTTTCAGCTGGAAAGCTCTTTTATCTTAAGGGCCCAATAATAATTTATTGGCTCTTATACTTAAATCTGACTGCTATAAAACATAATAATGTTTGTAAAATACTTTTAATTTTTGGTTTATTTAAGCAATAATGTCTTATATATTTTTATATAATTTTAATTGTATTGTATTACCTAAAAACTCAGGTATCTGCCTTCGTCAGATCATCTTATACTTTAATTTTCTGCCCTGCTGCGTTGACCTTGTGACTGCTCCCCCTTAACCCTCTTTGCCCCCCTTTTCCCCCTTTGGCACCACCCATTCCTTTGCCACATAGTGTCAAAATAAAGTTGCGGCTCAAACGCGTTTGAGCTAATTGCAAATTGTTATTGCTTTCCTGTTGTTACGCATTGTTGAACCACTTGGCTTCCTATTCTCCTGCCCTCAGTCTGTCATTTGTTCAGTTAGTCGGTGTCGAGGGTTCGGGGTCGGGGTCAGAGGTCAGGTCTTTTGTCTGGCGGCTCCGATTGTCGGCAGCACGCACACGCAAAACACGCACAAAATGTCTATAAAATTAATAACAATTCGGTTAGCCAAAAGCAAAACTTTGATTGAGGATATTCAAGTAGACATTGCCTCGGATCGAGTATGTTGCTTGATGTGTTCAAGTGAGTTATTGTCAGGGAATTTATCTTATTATACAAATATTTTATAAATTATTCCCATCCACGTTTGCCTTTGATGAATGCCCAGGGAGTTGAATAAACTTTCGATTGTCTAAAGCTTGATTTATGATTCTTTTCGATTGGAGGATATGCAAATGATTTCTGTGGGGGTGTCAATTTCATATTATATTATTGATCGGAAAACTCGATTCCCAGGGGCTTTTCTTCACTCACTTTGATGTTGTCCATAATTACCCACCAAATCTGGACCAATTTGCGGTTAGTTGGCTCATTATAATCAACACTTTTCCTCACTTATCTCACACTTCCATCTGAGGGTAATTGCGTGTCTCTCTCTTTCTCCAATTCTCAGTTTCCCTTCAAATTCCCCATTTCCCCCCGTTTCATCTCCAATTAACGATGCGTGCGCAATTATCTCGATAATTATGATGAAACAAAACACGGCAAAAAACAAGAAACTAAATAGCTTTCCCAAAATGCAATTAGTGCAGAACGTTCACGAATTCCAATATGGAAAGCTCTGGCAGAAAATTTCTTAAAGAGTCCTCTTTATTTTGCCAACGACATTGCATTAATTGCGCATACGCCACGTTAAACGCTTGCCCACAAATTGACGGCAACAAAATGCTCTAAGACTCATTGATTGATGGTTTGTTAAGGGGGCGGAAAAGCCTGGGGGGAGGAAAATGGAAAAGGAATAGGGGCGTGGAGCGGGAGTTTGGGTGGCGCCACCTAGCGCCATTTGCCAGTCTGCACGTGCCGCACGTTTTTATTTGGGCGTTTCACTGAGCGAAAAAATCTGTTTTTGTACTCAAAGAAATCGTTAAAACTAATCTATATAATTTAAATGGTATACTATTTTTGGTTGCAAATAAATTCAAAAAAAGTTTCTTTTAATATAATATTTTCATATTTAAGGAAGTTGGAATAGTAACTCTATTGAAAATGTCTGTCTGAACGAATTGTATTTTTTTTTAAGGCAGATCTTTAGTAATACAGTAATACTTTTTATAACGACTTTAGAAACGCGTTTGTATTAAGACAGCATTTTTTCAGTGCAGCCAGGACACTGTTTGTTTATTTGAATTTCCAATATCTTGACGAGGCAAACACACAGCCTCTGTCCACTTTTCCCTCCTGTCATGCAAATATTGGCTTTTTGTATGTCACCTAGGTGAAGTCCTCATAGACAACGACAAAATGGCTCAGCAAAAAAAAGGAAACAGGAAAAGCGTTGAAACAGCCGTGAAATTTGGTGTCAGCAGCCAGGGGAAAAGTGGGCGCCAGCTGTGACCGCCGCAGTAACACCCACGCATCTACACCCATTTGCCATACACATACACATATACATATATACAGAGCCCGTCAACACATTATGCCTTCATTTATACTTTATGATGAGTA